ATTGGAGAAAAATAAATAAATAAATAAAGACCTCATTGTCCTAACATCCCCACTTCTCCTTATAACCCACCATTGCTACCCCCCTTTCCTTCCCCTTCCCTTTATCACGATCTTATTTTGCAACGTCATGACAAGAGCAACAAGTGTGGAGAGCGTACGAGGTGGAAGGGTTTCACAAAACATTCACATGGGGTGTAACAATTGAGACGTCAAGTGTGTTTCCTCTTGGCACATCGGTAATGCTTCATAAGATCCTTTAGGAGAAAGGTGCTCCATGAAAGGGGAGTACAAAAGCTGTTATGAGTTCTTCTTCATAGTCGCTGATGAAGAAGGGATTAGGTCATCCCTACACAAACTGGTCGGGAATTGAAGCTGCTTCCCTAATGAGTCCATGGCAGGATGAAACCAGTAGACTTCAAGCCAATGAATGACGTATGTGTAGGTTGCCCTCTCAAGTGTGATGTTGGGGTGCCGCATGGGTCATTCCCTTGCGTTTGAAACTCTATGCCCGTGACACCTCGCTCTGTCCAAACACTACTGCAACACCCACTCCCACCCCACACACGCAACCTAGCACCACTTAACCGTGACACCTTTTAGCCTTTTTTAAATCATAATTTGATTGTGACTTGGCTAAAAAAAATAATCATTTTCAAACTTATTTTTGATTGAATCAAGCCTCTTAAAGAGTTCCATCGTCCCAACCACCATTTTCCTTTCTTTTCCTTTAATTTTCTTTTTTCTTTTAATTAATTTTTGGCTTGGTTTGCGTTGGGGTTGATTTGTTTGTTGAGGGACAAAGGGGTAGGGCGATTGTGGTGGTGGTTTGGGATGATGTGAGTTTGGATTTTGGCATGATAGGGGACTATTGTGGTTCTTTCAACGCAATGGTGCGGTTTGATGGCATGGGGACAGGGATGAAGGACGTTTGACGACTTAGGGAATGAAGGGCTGGCGTGGAGGTGGGCATGGGAGATGGTGTCAAGGTTCAGATTTAGTCTTTTCTGAAGTGGTTTTATTTTTCAATTTAACTCATTTGTTTTTAATTTGATTAATTTTTTTTTTTAATTTTAGTTAGTGTTTAATTTTAGAAAACAATAGCAAATAAATCAATTTATAGAAATTCATCAATTGAAGTCTAACAAAGATGATGGTTTGGGATAGTAAATGATTGATTTTTAAATAGCCAGGTATTGGGCATTTCGATTTTGGGCTGGTGCTGGTTTCGAAAATTCAGGAACCATTACTATGCAGTTTCGCTACCGTTCCACCACTTTACAAACCAGAACCAACCCGAGAATTAGGGGTACTTGTAATTTCAGCAAAAATTGGTGACTATTTTGTACTTTTACGGGTTCTATAAATTACGAATTCGAGTTCATTTGCTTATGTTCTTCGTCTTCCTCTCACAATCTCACTTCTCTTCTCACGTTCGCAAATTTCATGTTGTGAAGCTGACTTCTCTCTTGATTCTATGCCATTCTCGTTTGTTCTCGTTCCCATTCGGTTATTTCTATACAAAGGTTGGTGGTGCATGCAAGTTCTCTCGCAAAGGAATCGTTCAAATTGAAGGTTCTTACTTTGAAATTGGGGGTTTTCAAATTTAGTCCTTCTTTCACGATGTTTACTTGATAATGACTCGTATTTTTTACAAAATCTTTGATTTCTTTCTTTTTGCTTTAATCAAGTTTTGTTGTTGGAAGATGATGAAATCTGAATAATCATTAAATGGTGAATGTGGTTCAATGTTAATGGGTTTAGATTGGAGATTGGGGGTTTAGTTTTAAAAATCAATGATTGATTCTCAAGATTTGTTGATTTAGGTTTTGATTCGAAGAAGAAGAATAAGAACGAATAGATAAGGCGTGAGGTGAAAAAAAAAAAAAAAAACTTGTGTAATATTAGTCCATTTCTCATAGTGTATTGCATGGTATTAAACTATTAATTATGTGGGATAGATTGGAATGAATAAGAACGAAATAGATTAAAGTGTTACTATTTCTAGATCCACGTAAACTCACATTATTAGTTATTTTAAAAATTAAAATTATAATGTATATCAATAATTTTTAACAAGTAAACAACTATTTATTTATTTTAATTATATAATTTACTTTTCCAATTTAATTACTAAATTATTCGTGTAAACTTTCTATAACTTTTAAGAAACAATTGCAAAATTCTTTACCTATGCTTTCTTCTTTGTCGTCTATAATATTTGGCTCAAAGCCTCAAATATAACATTTGGATTTGCTTTCTTATTTCATTCAATTACAAATAATTTTATGTCAATTATTTGGCTAAATGGAACGAAGAAAATGGATTGGTTTAAACATGTCCGTATAGGTATAGCAACGTATAAATAATGGTGACAATTATACTGTGTTCAGATTGTGCACTTTCACAGCGCGTCAAAGAAAGATCAATACAGCGCCCCATTGCCATAATACAGTCCAAGGCAGTGTTTTTGGATTGGGTCTCCAAAATAGTTTAGTTCCGAGTTTTTTTAAACCCCCATCAAATTAATAAATAGTATCCTACTTTTATTTTTTTTAATAAATTTAACAGTAATAAAAATTTCAAAAAGTACATAATAATTTCTAAATACACTCATAATCCATTTTATATTTATATTTTTAACTTTAATTCTTATATAAACCTTAACTCTAAATTTTCTAAATCATTATAATTTTTTTTATTCCAAATATTTCTTTTTTTGATGAAAATATATTATTAAAACTATAAAAATAAATAAATAAATAAATAAACACACAACAAGATGAATCTGAATTGAAGAATAAAAAATAAATTTGAAATTTGAAATTAAAAAAAAATAATGTAAATAAAAAACCTAATTAAGTTTGAAAACTTGGGAAAAAATAGTATAAACAGAAAAACTAATTAATTTTGAATTTGAGAAAAATTGATGTAATATATATATAATAAAATTTGATATTGAGGAAAGGGATGTAAACAGAAAAACCTAACTAAACCTAATTATATAGGGCTATTTTCTGATATTAAATAAGATTTAAAGAGCTTTTTTTAAATATAATAAATGTGTATATAACCTTAGGGATACTCAGCAATCTGATGAGACTAAAAATCACTTTCCTAAAATTCTGTGAACACCTTCATTCTCCCACAGAACTAAAAGATCTCCAAATGTCACTATTGAATCTAAATAGCTGGGTTTCCACGTATTCAGAAACCCCTAATGTCAGTTAAAAGATATCTCAGAACTAAGGTTTTCTTGTCAGGGGATAAACTGTATATTCTCCAAAGTGAATCTCAAACTTGCAAGTTTAAAAGTACATTAAAATTGACAAATCATTCAACAGTAGATCCCAAAAAGATGCCAAAACATATATGTATCACCAAAACGGTCGAAATACTCTCCATTGAGATTCAATTTGTTATAGAAGACTCAATTCTATGCAATCGATCTGTATTTTGTGATAGAATTAATTGTTTAAGCATAGATAGCTTTTAGCTGTTCCATGACCATGAGCCATGATTCAGGTAACACTCAATGGTATCCTGCATCAATCATGGAGAATTTACAAGCCACATTACGAAATTACTGTTCTAATAATTTTCTCCTGTAACTCTTATCAGCTGCAGAAAACCGTACACATATTCATCCCTATTACATTCCAAGCGACCAACAAATTATTTGCAGACACTTGTTCCATTAGAGTTGAATTCAGCTTTGACATATGCCGAACTTTAGCACATTATTTTCATCAAAGGGAATTTTCAGTGATCATGGGTGCTTAATAAGGGCTCTCTAAAGGAGCTCCGTATCCAACTTAGGGTGTTAAAAGATCAAAGTGGAAAAAGATAATGTAGAGTTGGACTAACAAGAAGTTATATCTACGAAATCTAGAACCAGTAAAAACTACATCATGGAGGCACCATTTCAGGAGAAATAGGAAGGTAACTAGTCGGGAGGGGGGGTTTTGGAATTTGAAAACAATAATAATGATAATGATAATAATAATAGTTACAACATGGTTGGAAGATGATCACACAAATATTTCATAACCACAAAAAAGATCACAGTGCAACAATCCAAAATGCTGTACGAGGATTCCCAGGCTTGGAATTGTAAGCTAACAAGATTTATGAGTTTAACATGGGCTCATTGAGCAGTTACATCCTGAGCTACCCCTAAAATTGAATTCCATATTACAGACCACAAAACAAAGGAAACTAAAATTGATGTTAAATTCAAAGGATAGAGCATAAATGATCAGAAAAACCAATGAGACATTATTAAGTTATAAACATTAGGTCACTCAAAATATTCCATAATTCCTATATACTAATAGAATATCCATAAAATAAATGTCCTCTTTGAAAATCCATCATTACATCGTCAGACTTTGTATCTTACCGTCAAGCAGACTAAGATGAAAGGGCATTGTACCCATTTTTCTAATTCATCTTCTTTTGTTCTTTTTGTTTCTTTTTTTCATTTTTTTGTTACAGCCCTACTCCATCATAAGTAACAAACTATAAATATACAAAACTTTATACTATTTTTATTTAGGTATAAAGCTCGCTAATATAATCCTAACATCACAACTTGCTAAGCTCGAACCCAAATATAGGAACACAAAACTTCAAGCTAAAACATTGCAACATTAATATACCCAAAATCCTCCAATATTTGCCCAAACAAAACTCATCGTTCTGTCAAATTTTCAAATAAAATATTTACAAATTACAAATATTCAAAGGGTATATATCACTGTATCCATCCTCTAAGAATATGAAATTTGTTAAGTAAACCATAACTTCATAATTGAATCACTAGACTGATAAACTGTTTTATAATAAACATCAAACTAAATAAATAATTCTCCTGAAAATTGTCTTTGTTTTACCCCTTCTTGCTCACTTACTTGAAGAATCAATAATTGCATATATAAACAAAATCTTTTCACTATCTATAGTCAATAATTGCACATTAAAAGAAAATCTTTAGAATTTACTCAAGAAGCAATAAAATCATAACTAATCCATAGCTTCATAAGTGAAACACTGGAATGAAAATCTCTTTTACAATAAACACCAAACTGATGGTGAAAATTGTCTTTATCTTCTATCTTACCACTGATGGAGAAAATTGTATTTATTTTACCCTTATATCTCACCACAAGCTTCACAATCAAATCACTGGACTGATAATCCCTTTTCCAATAAACATCAAACTAATCTCTTTTACAATAAACAACTAAATGATCGAAAGAATTGTCTTTATTTTATCCATCTATCTCACCAGAAGAATAAATAATTGGATATATAAACAAAATCTTCTCACTGTCTATAATCATAATCAATAATTGCACATATAAAAAAATTAAAAAAAAAAACTTCATAATTTACTCAAGAAGGAATAAAATCAGAACTAACCCATCTCCAATAATGCCTCTTCACACACAATGCCTCCGCCGCCGCGGAAAAATCCGCATACTCCTCCGCCTCTTCCGTACAAAACTCTCCATCATCATCCGGCAATCCCTCCACCAAAGCGTCCACCGAATGAACCACGTAACGAGCCGGCAAACCTGGATACGAATTCGAACTCCCCTCCTCCACCTTCTTATTATACGACCCGGGAACGATTCTCACAGTGTTCCCATCAAAACCCAACTCTTCTTTCACCGCACGAATCACGGCCTCTTCGTGGGTTTCATTCGCCTTCATCTTCTCCGCCAAGGGCCGCCACCGGTTCCTCACACTACCGTCGGACAATTCTTGGCGGGATTCAACCAGAATTTGATTATTCTTCCCGAGAATCCGTACAGTAACCACGTTAACTGTGCGAATTGGAGGGCTGGAATCGGCGAGACAGGTCTCGCCCTCGGATAATTCGAGCCAGAGGTTGTGGATGTTCTTAGTGCCAGGTTTCACGCCCCAGGAGGCGAAGGAATTGGAGGGCAAGCGAGGATTGAGCCAATTAGAGAGAGATTGAGGGGTGGCGAAAGAGTGGAGATTGGATTGTGAGTGGGAGAAGGACATGATGGGTATTTTGCGAACGCGACGAGGGTATTTTGGGAAGGAAAGAAAAGGGAATTTGAAGGGTTTGGGAGAAGTAAAAAGGTAGAGAAGAGAGAGAGCTGCGAGGAAGAAATCGGGAGGAGAGTTGAAGTTTGAGAGTGGTTTGTGTTGAGATGGTGCCATGTCAATGGTTAATTGTTGAAGAATGGGTTTTGTTATGCATAAGTTGTTTGTTTTGGTTTTGAGTAAGAGTGTCCATACTCCCAAACCAGAAAGGAGGAAAGGGTTTGGAAAGAAGAGATGTTGAGGATCTGGATCATATTTATTTATCGGTTTCGGGTTGTTGGTTGAAAATCTCAGCCAAATGATTAAATGAATGAAAATTAAAGTTACATGACACAAATATTAGAAAACACAATAATAATTATACGAATGATTAAAATATGTGTGTGATTAATCTTATTGATATTAAAAAAAAAATGAAAATGAAACAACGTATATATAAATAAAATATATATATAATTATACAAATAAAAAATTAAAGCAATGTATATTAAAAAAATTAAAATTAAAATATAGAGTATAGTTTCAAAAAAGAATTTTCTCATGGTTTGGGATGATATAAGATTAAAATAAACCAATGTGACAGTTGATAATTTATCGTCATCATTGTCGCTCCGTCGTCACCGTCATCGGAGCTATCTTTTTTCACCACCACCTACACATGAAGTCCCAATTACCGATGTTATATGGATCTGGACGGTTGTTACATTTACATCACTCTTTTACACAATTTTCGTTATATCATGATGTGATATATGTCATAATCACACAAATTTTTAATTTTTAATATTATAATAAAATTATTATTAGTAAAATAGTCATGATGTAAAAAAATAGTATAAATATAACATTACTCGTAGAAAATTGCCGATGAAACATTACATGCAATGGTCGAAAATACAGTAGCCGTGCGTGACATGGTTTTGGCGATCTTCAACGGCTGGGACCTGCCCATATCCATAGATCACCAACAAGTGGTCCATCACCAGCATGGCGATGATTCACTAGTACTTTGTGTTTTAATTTAGGTTAAGTTTTTATTATAGGCTGACCCGCAATTTAATCAATACTTCACTCTTCATTTGCCCCTAAGATTGGAGTATTATTATAAATTATTCATTTAATATCAGATCTAAATTAGACTAATCAATAGAGTATCATTGTGGCATTTTGCTTCAGCCACATTAGAAGGCCTCTAAATAAAACCTGGTAGGTTTCTTTGCATAAAACTTTTGTTCAGTATAAGCTATAGCACAAATCAAATAACAGCCATAAATTGATATAGAAACACACTACTCTTCGTAAAACATAAAACAAATATCTAAAAGGTTGCAACGACAATCTGACATTACCCATTTTACATACGAACAAAACACAAGACAAGTGCCTAGAGCCAACATCATTCGCCGATATTCAACTGTACATTCCACAATGCATTTAAGCTAAAGCATGTAAATCAAAGACTTAACGAAATTCAATTACACAACAGCGGATTGCTTGCAAGTCCTAGTTGATCTTACTCTGCTTTGCCAAATCTACGACACAGTTATCTCCACAGAAGATTGTAACTGTTAGGACTTAACGGGGACTGAGAAGAGAATGGAAAGAGGAAGAAAAGAATTTGGGAAGGGAGTTGAGGCAGAAGAAGACAAGAGAGAATTAGGTTACAATTTTCAACAAAGCTACAGACACCGAAAAATTTGCACCGAAAATGTGTACCAGCCTACGTGTACCCAAGCGCAAGATTTTTCTATCAATTTTTTTCTAGTGAACGACTATCCATCAAATATGGACGGCCGTTCACTTACATGAACTCCTGTCCATATTATATGGACAGGGGTTCATTTACTACGGACTGGTGTCCCCATTTAAAAGACGTTCATCCATAAGTAAAATGGAATAATTTTTTTTAAAAAAAATTAAGGACGGCCGTTCATCCGTTATGGACAACCGTCCCTTCATTTTGGACGGGCACCCGCAAATAAGAGACGCCTGTCCTTAACCAAAATATAAAAATAAAAAATAATAAAAAAACTTTGAGGATGGCCGTCCATAAATTTTTGATGGCCATCCCTTACATTTGGACGGGCATCCATACTTTTAAAAAAAAATATTCTAAACACCTTTCTTCTTCGCTCTTCTTCTTCGTCTTCATTCCCCATCTCCTCTCTTCTTCTTGTCCAGTGTTATTCTAAGAGTAATGCAGATAGTATGTGAACCCACTCCCACAGCAGACTTGGAACGAAGCATCATTGCTCTGGACTTCATCATCCAGACTTACTGCCTTGGGTTTAGTTTGATCACTAGTGTTTCCCAAGCCAAGTTGACCGTGTTCACCCTAACCCCATCTCATAATTATTCCATTATCTGCAATGGCATTGAGAAGTGAAAACAGATGAGCAAGAGAAAAAAAATATATCATCATATGGCATTCTTGCTGATATGATGATATATTTGCTTCTTTATACAACAGATTTACTTTTATCTTTGTCTACAAAAAATCTCAAATGACATTGGGAAATCTTGCTATGCATAAATGTTGACTTCATTATCCTCAATCACTAAGAAAATCAAATTGAAAGCTTGTTTCTTGGCTACTACTTGAAGCAAGGAACACATACCAGGTATCACTTTCCATTAAGTTTTGGTTTTGATATTTTCTCTATTCCTGCTATTGTATCTATTCTTTATCTCTGCTCCTCCTCCACTATGACTTGGGAAATAAGCGTTTTGTACAAATCTTCTTTTGATTGGGATATACCTTTCTATAGGTTGCTGGCAAACACTAAAAGATATCGAAGACTGTTGGAGTTGTCGACTACTTCAGCATTAATGGGTAACGGAGACGCACTCGGGGGCAGCGCCCCCGAGCCTATAGGCGGTTTTGGGCTTTTCCATGTATAATCGCTGTAGGATTTCTTTTAAGTTATTAATTCCTTTTTGGGTTAGGCTTAGGAATAAGAATCCTTGTAAAACTAGGTTTAATCTCTTAAACCTAGTATATAAACATATTTTTCTCTTGTTATGAGGTGAGAGCAATTCATTCATTGTAAACGAGAGAGGTGATGCATATTGCAATAATATTGACTCAGCTGGACGTAGCCCACATTGGGTGAACCAGGGTAAATCACGCGTATTATTTTCTTTGTTTACTATTTGTTTTGTTTTACTATTATTATTTTGTTCCTGTTGTTGTCTCTATTTCGTTCAGAGACTACATTGTAGATGTAATCTGTAAACCTGCTGGACTCAGTCACAACCATGGAGCCATATCAGTCCAAAAGGTTAATTGATTTCATTCCTTAGGATACTTTTGTCAATCGTATAATATACAATTATGTTTTGTGCTCCAGAAAATTCGAACGACGCTGCTCTTGAGAAAGTATCTGGTCTTGACGACGCGAAAGTTGTTCAAATTGCTGCTGGAGCTGAGCACTTTGCATTAGTAACAGGCAATTTTCAACAATCCTTTTTTATCTACTTACTTTTTTTCTCTTGCTCATCTGTTTTCACTTCTCAATGCCATTGCAGATAATGGAATAATTATGACATGGGGTTGGGGTGAACACAGTCAACTTGGCTTGGGAAACACAAGTGATCAAACTAAACCCAAGGCAGTAAGTCTGGATGATGAAGTCTAGAGCAATGATGCTTCGTTCCAAGTCTACTGTGGGAGTGGGTTCACATACTATCTGCATTACTCTTAGAATAACACTGGACAAGAAGAAGAGAGGAGATGGGGAATGAAGATGAAGAAAAACAGAGGAGATGGGGAATGAAGACGAAGAAGAAGAGCAAAGAAGAAAGGTGTTTAGAATATATATATATATATATTTTTTAAAGTATGGACGGGCATTCATTAGGTAAGGGACGGCTAATGGACGCCTGTCCAAAATTTATGGACGGTCGTCCCCAAAGTTTTTATTTTTTTTTATTTTCATATTTTGGTTAAGGACGGGCGTCTCTTATTTGCGGGTGTCCATCCAAAATGAAGGGACGGCCGTCTATAACAAATGAACGGCCGTCCCTAATTTTTTTTTAAAAAAATTATTCCATTTTACTTATTTTAAAGGACGCCCATCCGTAGTAAATGGACCCCCGTCCATATAATATGGATGGCAGTCCATGTAAGTGAAAGGCCGTCCATATTTGATGGACGGCCGCTCACTAGAAAAAAATTGATAGAAAAATCTTGCGCCTGGGTACACGTAAGCCGGTACACATTTTCGGTGCAAATTTTTTGGTGTCCGTAGCTTTGTTGTATAATTTTCCTACCTTTTATTCATTCATCTCACTCTTCGAATAAGGCTATTTAACAATTATCTAATCCAGGAATAAAAATACTTGCAAATATTAAACTTGAATTAAAAAACAAAACATGCATGACTCCAACAAATACTACACGACCCCCTCTTAATCCAAGAGACGAGCTGGTAGCTTCATAGTCCGCTTGGGCCTAACTGCAACGGCTTCAGACTCCCTAACTGAATTGTCCTGGACTAGAATAGCTGTAACATTCCCCACTGCTTGAAAAATGGCCTTGTGTTAGAATCTAGAGAGAAAGGCAAAAAATTCTAGAGAGAAATGTAAAGAATGAAATTGTATTTCACGCGTATATTTTCCAATGTACAAGAGCTATATTTATACTTACAATACATGCTAATGATTAGTGCTAATGGCTACAATCAAGCTTTGCTTGATTCAAGCCATTGATCAAGAGGCTAACACCCCCCTTCAAGCTCAAGGTGGTAACGTAGATTCTAGCTTGAGATTGGAAATTAACTCTATGAATCATCTTAGGTGATGAGCTGATGTAAGTGGTTGAAATAAGACAAAATAGTTGATCCTGAAACAAAGTCAACGCTAACAAGAAAGTCAAACAATGATAGGATAAGTCAATGATGACGTGGAACTAATGACATGACATAATTCAACAATAATGTGGCAAGTCAACGATGACTCGATAACGTGACAAAAGCCAACAATGGCCTAGCGAGTCAACAATGGCATGACATCGATGAAATGGCAAAGGCCAACAATAGCCTAGCGAGTCAACGATGATGTATCATCGATGACTTGGCAAAGGCCAACAATGGTCTGGCAAGTCAACGATGATGTGGCATCAATGGCATGGCAAAAGCCAACAATGACACGACGAGTCAACAATGGCATGACATCGATGACGTGGCAAAGGCCAACAATGACCTGACGAGTCAATGATGACATGGCATCAATGACATGGAAAAGCCAACAATGGCATGACAAGTCAACGATGACATGGCAAAGG